CGCGAGGCCCCGCCGTGTCCCCGGGGCGCGTTCACCCGCCATCTTCGGCGGTGGCCGCCGACTGGAAAATGTTCCAAAGCCAAGGTCACCAGATCTGGCAAAGAAACGGCGTTTTCGTTAAAAGTGAGCATTGCAGCAGGCCGGCGACACGCGGCGCCGGGCGTCGCCTCCCGGGCCGGTCGTGAGTTCACAGCCCTTCGCGTGACCAGGTGGGTGGCCCTGAGAAGGGCCTTTGGTTTCGCTGCAGAAAGCGAGCCGGGGTTCAGACTCAGCCCCCGAAGCCGTAGAGCGTGCGGCCCTGGCGCTTGAGAGCGTAGACCACGTCCATGGCCGTGACCGTCTTGCGCTTGGCGTGCTCCGTGTAGGTGACGGCGTCCCGGATCACGTTCTCCAGGAAGACCTTGAGCACCCCGCGGGTCTCCTCGTAGATGAGCCCGGAGATGCGCTTGACGCCGCCGCGCCGCGCCAGGCGCCGGATGGCGGGCTTGGTGATGCCCTGGATGTTGTCGCGCAGCACCTTGCGGTGGCGCTTGGCGCCCCCTTTGCCGAGCCCCTTCCCGCCTTTGCCGCGACCAGACATGGCGAAAGGTGAGTCTGTCTGATGTCTAACCTCGCGCAGGCCTCTGACGCCTCTTAAGTAGCAATGGGGCGGACCTCGTTTGAAACTGAAAGACCAGAAAACGCGGAAAACCGCCCCGAGTCCCCGCCCCTGGGTTCTTGGGCCTCAAGGAAACGCGGTGTAGAAGACTTTTTGGTATTTAGAAAATGAGAAATTCCAATCAGGAGTCTATTCATCTCGCGTATATTCTTGGATTATTCCCACGGGGGGATTGAAGAAGCCCAGATCCCAGGAAACAGGAATTGGCAAATATGTAGTCAACCAACTCAACCAGAACTGCAGCCCGGCCCGCGACGAGCGCGTCTTGGCCTTGGCGCGCGCCTTGCCGCCCTGCTTCCCGCGTCCGGACATAGCAGCTAACTCCTGTAGGACAGGAAAAACTGGACAGTTGAATTGCACTTTGTAGAATGAAGAAATCTGTTGATGAGTGAGTTATTGTCAGCAAAATGAGGGCATCTAGTCTGTTGACATAAATTCCTATCGCCCAGATCTTGT